CAACAAAAAAAACTAGTGAAAGATAAGCAAGTGTGATTCAATTGCCTGGATAACCATAGGTCAACTGACTGTACTTCTGGAAGACGTTGTATCATAGAAAACTGCGGAGGAAAACACCACTCTACTTTACATAGAAATCAGGATAAAACTGTCCAGCGACATCCAACAACATCAATTTGTTCTTATGTCCTGAAATGTATAGCTGACACCTTACAGTGTAAGCCCAGTCGAACAGTTGTATTCAGCATTTATGGTGCTTTTAGTGAGGACACTGTTTCGTCAAATCTGGTTCAACTACACTATAAAACCTACTTCTACTACGTTTACTCTACAATCAGTCTATTCGGTTGATACGCTCAACTTCGATTTGATAGATGTCGCAAAACTGAACAACGTATGTCCCCGGTATGACCATCTACGACACATTCCGTTTCCTCCACGACAAATAGATACCAGGCTTCGACGCTTCCTGGCATATCGCAGAAAGGGACATTTTGAAGGGTCCTGCTGGCAGTCCGTATGGAGTGCGCAACTTGTTGGGTTTGACGATAACCGGCCCGCTTTATCCAAAGTCTTTAGATGAGCAGTGCAACAATCGAACATGGTCGAACTAATTTTGGAGTTTATACAACAAAGCATTCAACACGACGAAACTGGCTACCGAATCATTTTGCTTTGGAAGAACAATAACTAGTTTGTTGCTGAATCTCAACTTGAATCTCTACAACACCGACTACAAAAGGACAAACTCACAATTCAACTCGACAAATCATTATTAACTGATATTGATAGAGGTTACGTGAAACCCGTCACTTTCCTACATCCGCCACCGTTGCGAATATGGTACCTACCGCACCATCCGATTATAAATACCCAGAAACCATGATAAACTTCGACGTGTAAAAAACGCTGCATCGAAATTCAAGGGCGTTTCTCTCAATTTCTTTTTAGAGACGGGACCGGATCTACTTATTAACATGTTTAGTTTGCTAATGAGGTAGAGAGAAAAACCACTAGCAGTTTCTGGTGATATAAAAGGCATGTTTATGCAGATAAGCATGAAAGAAGACGACCAAAATGTACTACGAATCTTGTGGCCGACTAATCAAGGAGTTAAGCGGTACCAAAATACGCGTCTAGTCTTCGGAGCTAAAGGCTCGCCCGCAATAGCCATCTTCGCACTACATAAAACAGCCGGCGACTTCTGCAAAAAAGAACCCAACATACAGCAACTAATTCAAAACAGCTTCTACATGGATGACTTCTTCCATTCAATGACAATCTACTGGAAGCCCAGGAATCAACTAAAGCTTTAAAGGTGGCACTACAAAAAGGAGGCTTCAATTTAACAAAGTTTTTATCGAGTACTACAAAAATGCTTGATTTCCTCGACCAGCCCAAAACAAGAGTACTATTCATCGGGTTTTGGGAGTGAAGTGGGATACTATGATCATTCAGCCCGTACTGAAAAAAAATTAAATGGCTAAAGAAAAGTCTCTACGTGAAGTTCTATGTGCTTTAGCCAGAATCTTTGATCCACAGGGATTGATAGCACCATTTGTCTTAACTCTCAAAATACTGCTTCAAAAATTTTTGGCGACTTGATATAAGTTGGGATCAAGAAGTTCCTCAAGAATACATCCCGATTATCGAAAAATGGGCCGACAGTGTGGACACGATAATAATGTGAAATTACCGAGGTTCGTAGGCCAAATCGACAGACGCAGCGATATACAACTACATGTTCTCCCCGAAGCTTTTCAGTGCGCCATGGCAGCTTTCATATACATCCAAGCTCATACACAATCATCTAACCAAACAATCTCGACTAAAATTCAACGCCAATCATTTCTGGACGGATAGTACGACGGTACTTGCATGGATCAACAAGGATCAACGGAAATCTCGACTAAAACTCAACGCCATTCTTTTCGGGACGGAGATTACAACGGTACTTGCATGGATCAACACGGGTCAATGGAAAAGCAAAAATCTCACTGTGCGAACAGAATTAACGAAATTCTGACAGTTTTTGAAGCCCAACGTGGCATCATACATTCGGTAAACGGAACCAGGCCGATCACGCTACATGAGGTATCCCGATTTAGGACGTGGAACAACTTTGGTTGGAACCACCGGATTTCCTACTCTTGCCAGAATCTGATTGGGATCAACTAAAATTACAGGACGACGCAGTTACTCAGCCCGTTTTCACAACTACAGGTAAGGAGAGAAAAACTACACTAAAAGTCGACATTACAATTCTACATTTCAATGCTATAGTGAAAAGGGAAACCACTTCTACCAGCTCAAAAAGGGACCCAATCATTGACGTTTCGAGATTTTCCCATTAGCTTTGTCTACTCCGCGCAACTGCTCATGTTATATACAGTTAAAGGACATTCTTCTGCAAACGAAAACGCAACTTAACAATAGACGACCGGGAGATGGCTAAAACTCCACTCTACGAGCAATCACAACACGCTACTTCCTCTGATACTATTAAACGTTTAACTACCAACAAAGCATTGGACAACAAAGATTCTTTACTGCCATACTCACCATTCAAGGATGGTTATCTTATTCGTGCGCGAGGACTGAGACATTCATTAATGCCAGATGCAACTAAGTACCCTATTATTGTACATGCAAAGGCACCTCGGCACCGAATTTGTACGAAACTACTTGCAACAAAACTCCATAATTTTGGGTCTCAGAAAAGTCTCTAGACCCATTCGCCACCACAATTTCTTTTGTCGCCGCTTTCAAGGGAAAGGTTTGAACCCTTTTATGGCCGATCTATCCGCACAGCGCTTCGGCGACCCGAAAACTAACCCATATCCATTCAAGAACGTGGGACTTGACTACATCGGTCCATTGTACATTGCTGAAAAAGATATCAGAAAAAACTACATTTGTCTCTTTACTTATTTAACAACGCGTGCAATCCACCTGGAAAATACCGACAATCTGACAACTGAAAATAGCTTGACAGCAAGTCGTAGATTCATGGCGCGACTTGGTTCTCCTAAACTAACTCTTTCAGATAACTTAGCATACTTTGTCGCAGCACGAAAACAAATCATGAAACAACCCTTAAAGATCAGCAAAGACAAAATTGCAACCAAGCTTCAGCTGAAGTCAATCAAGTGGCATCTTAACCCACTATCTGCTCCTCATTTTGGTGGGGTGTGGTAACGTCTCGTTTCGATCATGAAAGGAGTCTTTCTACTGAATTTAAGGATCGGATAACCTGTTTTTTTATTTAAGGATCGGAAAGACTTTCCAGAGATCCTTTTTCAACTATTGTAGTAGAATGCGAAGTCCTAATCAACTAAAGACCACTGGCCCATGCAAGTTGCGACATTAATGACACATTACCACTCACACCTAATCACTTCCTACTTGGGTGACCATTTACGCTCCCGCAGCTTCATTCTACGACAAAAACAACAACAAACAAAGCAACACATCCTGGAAGCTAAGCAAGGACCGGTTAGACAGCTTCTGGAAGCGACTACAGAAAGAATACGCTCCAACCCTGCAACCCTGATCAAACGAACCAAGTGGAATCAAAAAGAGGAAACCATGGAAAAACATGAGCTGGTGTGGATCCTCGAAGACTTCACTCCACGAGGCATATGCCCCTTGGTAAGGTTGTTGAAACGTTTACCGGTCCTGATGACATTGCGCGCTGAAGCGTAATCAAAACAGCGTTAGGAACACTTAATAGGACCGCGCTGAAACTAGCTTTACTTAAACCAAAAACGGATTTTTAGGCCTCACTAATAATTGTAATACCAAAGCCTAACCCCTCTAGTCTCCGTATCTAATGCCCTTCCGAGGATAAGAAGATTTTAATTAACCAGAAATCTAACTAGTTAACATAAACAAAATGAAAAGTTGGGAAAAAAGCTGCTGAGAAGTTACGCATAAGTTTCGAGAAATCTGTCTGGAAAAAACCGTCTATAGTTTCCAGGAGTAACCACCGATGTTGGCAGGAATCTTTTGCGGAGTGTCGTTTGCGCAAAACAAGAGCGCTCTGGAATGAGTTTTTTACAGCACGTGTACAGAAGACTGGGTTCAAATCTTCTCGAGAAAACAAGCATCTCTTTCTTGTAGAATGGTCTTCATCGTTTTGAAATCCTCCGAGATACCCAAATGCACAGCTTTTCTCTGAAAATTGACCAACTTGTTCAATTGTGCTTGACTCACGCCAGCGTAAACGCTCAAGCAATAGGTCAAAACAGACAGAACCAGAGACTTGTATAGTAGTTCCAGTTCTTTTTTTCTCATAACCTAGATATTTGAGCTTATACAAGAGATAGAGGTTCTGTGAGGCGCGGTTTCGAACTGACTCAATGTGACTAGCAAAATTGAGTTGAGGATCAAACGTCACACTTAAGATTTTCAGGCTGGATTCCATCTGTTTTCCAATATCGATATCATCTGGTCTCCCATGGTAAAACATCATGAACTTAGTTTTATTTACATTCAGGAGAAAATTGTTTCTCTCACACCAATTGTTTATGTGTTGTACTTTCTCTTCGATAGTTTCTTTCACATGTTCATCTACGGGTATGAGAACAATTCCGTCGTCAGCATACTTTGACAGGCTTTCGCTAATAGTTTCAGGTAGCTGCAAAGCATTGTAGACAATGTTGAACAGCACCGGCCTCAAAACAGTTCCTTGGAACTCATAATTCTCAATCTGCGGCGCCGATGTTCTACTAAATGTTGGCGGTTGTAGAGAAAGCTTGTTATGAAGTACAGACTTCTTAGAGATTTGTACGAAAATGTCCACGGGCAAAAAAGTATAGTTCCTGATTGTGCAAGTGAGAAGAGTAATGCAACAGCAACAGGAGTTCAACAGCAAAGTGATTTCTTTGAAAAAATTAACAGGAAAAATGGAAATAATGAAAAATTAAGCTAGCCAACGTTATCAGCCTATCCGAAAAAATGAAAATTTAATAAAAACCAACATTTTTGAAAAGGTTTACCTGTGAATGTTGTGATCTTCACATTGGGATTTCCATTCGCCTCTTTCAAAGCGTTACCGATCTCTTCAAACATTTTCCATGTCAGGGCATTTTTCCGTTTATCATTGTTAATTTGAATACGAAAAACACCATTGGAAACTTCGTTCCTTATACAATCGGAAGAACAGCGCTTGATAATTGGAATATTCGCTAGTGGCAAGAGTCTCTTTAACATTACCGACTGGAAAATTGAAATAATTTCATTTCAAAAATGAAAATCAACAGTGAGTAAGCTCCTCCGAAAGCGCTTGTCAGTAACGATGTTCCCTATTGGAAATCAGAAAAATCACCCAATTACAGTAGAAATTTTTGTTAAAAAGTCAATTTCAAACGTTTTCGCAACAATGTGCATTGTCAGGATTTTTACAATAAACTAATCTAAATGAAGATGAAACATCAATTTAACAAATCGTACACAATCTTAGCTGACCTAAATCTGCCTCATATCTGTTGGGCATCTTCTGATGGAGGCTGTGATTACTCAAAACTATTCCTAGAGGTTATTGAGGATCATAGCTTAATGCCCCTTGTATATGAACCCACACATCGCTCAGGCAACACTCTTGATATCATTTTAACTTCGCACACAGAATTGTTCACTGCATTTGTAAATGACGTGCTTTACTCAGACCATTTTCCTTTAGAAATAAGATAACAACGTACCATATAAAAATTGAAGCGCTTTCGTCAAGAAGACATCATCAGCATTAATCTGAAGTAATTTGTTTGATAACAATGCAAACCAAAGTAAAAAAAAAACAAAGCAAAAGAAAGTAAGAAAGAGACAGAATAGAATAAAAGGATATTTCTCGTCAGAATACTCTGATACAAAGAAATAAGGCCGTTACAGGCGTAAGGTAAGCTCTCGGGCGCGGTACTCCTCCCTGTTGTTCAAGGCAGGGTTCTTCATCGCAATATGGAGGGCTTCCAAAGTCAACAGCTTTGACCTGTCAGGCGAGACGTCAATAACCATTTTCCTTTATTTGGTTTTTTTACCATTCCTGAAGCAGCGCTTACTGTGATTGGGAATTTTATGAAATCCTCTCTATCTAAATCATCTTTCTCTCATTCGATCTTCAATAGTAACATCAGCCCTTGCTTTACCAAACTCATTGTGGAACAAAACTCATGTTATTCCATATCCACCACTAATGATTATGTAGATAGCTGGTACGCTCAGATCAATCATGCAATTCTTTTATCATGCGCACATAAAACTAAAAGACGCCAGCAACTTCCCTATTATTATTCGTCGCATGCAGATCATTTACTGAATAAGCACCATTTCATATCTAAACGGACAGCCAACACAAATCATTTAGCTTCGATCCAACAAGACCTTAACAATTCAATCGAGTTGGATAAAACTTGTCTCCTTGAATCTTTAAGACCAAATTCTACCCGTGATTGCTTTAAATACATTCGATCTTTTACCAAAAGGAAACTACCAAACCAAATGCACTGGATGAATAGAAAAGCATCCACTTCTATTGAAATAGCCATTCTTTTGAACGATTACTTCTGTTCAGTGTTTCTAGAAAAGCACGAAATTCAAATCCTACAACCCGAAAAACCCACCATTTTTCTATCCGATCTCCATGTCAACCTTAAAAAGGTCGAGAAAGCTCTCGAATTTGCTAAAATTTCTTGTATTACCAACGACCGCCTCCCAACCTTTATTCTTAACTGCTGCAATGAATTAATATCTCATGTAGTCGTGCAGCTCTTTGTCAAGGTTTTGGAAACTAAAACGAGGCCAGAATTTTGGAAATGTGCGCTTTTTACGCCAATTCTTAAATCTAGTAATCCCGAAAATGTTGAAAATTATCGCCCGATTAGCATATTGCCTCAATTATCGATTATTCTGGAGAGAATGATCTTCGATTTAATTTAACATAAAATTCGGGCTAAAGTTACACCTGCTTAACATGGTTTTATCACCAAGCGATCGACTGTTACTCAGCTTCTTGAATACCTAGATCAGATTTATAAGACGTCGAAGCAAAAAACGAATGTGTTTCTGTGTACTTCGATTTTCGCAAGGCTTTTGAACAAGTTCCTCATCATATACTTATTTCGTACTTGGTAATTTAGGCTTTGACATTAGCTTTCTTGAACATTTTGCTTCCTATCTCACAAACCGCACGCAAATTGTCTTAATTAACAATGAAGCATCTCCAAAAAGGCCATGTAACAAGTGGTGTTCCGCAAGGAAGTGTACTCGGCCCTTTGCTATTTATACTCTTCATTAATGAAATGCCAGCTGTCTTGAAAACCTCTAATTGCTTTCTGTTTGCTGATGACAGCAAACTCTATTCAAAATAGGACTTTTCCTTAGTTCAAACAGACGTTGATCTATTTATCAATTGGACGCTTGAAAACGAAATGACATTTAATTCTGATAAATGCAAAGTTATTTGTTTTAACTCAACTTCCCCCAAATCTACTCTTTGCCTTAATGATTACCTAATTCCGTCAGTTTCATCTATCAAAGATCTCGGAGTAGCGATATCTAGTGATTTAAAGTGGGATATCCACATTAAAACCAAACTGGTCGCAGTTAACAAAGCTTTCCATTTCTTAAAACGTTCAATCCCTTATGGAGTATCCATGAGAACCAAATTCAAATATTACCAGCCATGTATTATGAGTATTTTATTATACGGTAGTCAAGTTTGGTTTCCATTTTTAACATATCGCCGCAAACTAGAATTTTTTAACAGAAAATGTTTGAAATGGGTAACGGGAGTGAACGACTATACAGAACAACTTAGAAAAACGAATTCCTTGCCAATTTCCTTCACTATAGCTTTAGATGATATGTGTTTTCTTAATCGAGTCCTGACTGATCAATTTGATTTCGACCTTTACAGATACATAAATTTTACCTTTGCAGCCAAAGACTTTCGCAATAGCTCACGCCCTAAGCTTTCAACAACCCAGAATTGTCGACTCTTCTTTACAGAGCAATTTTTCTTCTATCGCGTCTGTCGGTATGCCAACATGATTTCAGCAAACATCATAGCCGACATTTTCTCATCGCCTGAAACTTTCAAAGCAAAATTGAAAATCTATCTGAAAAATAGAATTGATATGTTCAACTTAAACAACTCTTGTTCAATGCTACTTTTTGCCATTGCATAAATTGCCGTTCGTGATGTCTTGTGTACATAATCATACCGTTTCTTTTGTTTGATGCCTTTATATTTTAAAGGGAATAAATTCTTTTAGTAGTAGTAGTAGACGATGAAACATCAATTTACAAATGTTATTTACAATAATTCACATATATTTTGGTTCTAAACTATCATGTTAAAAAAACGCCAATCACAGTTGACCTCTAAATTACGATTACGATTAAAAATACTTTTAACCTCTAAAATAAATTAAACAAATTTGATTGATTTGTCTGGAAGTTTCTGAGTCATAATTTCAATTTAGACATGTACGTTTCAAATAAAAAACCAAAAAAAAATTGGGACTAAATTTCCAGTGTTAACGCCCTGCTCCTGAACTCATCGCGCGTGTTCAAGCCCGGTTTCTCTTTCCTGGTATGTATTGCCTCAAGTATTAACAACTTTGGTTGGTTGTTCGACCTATCTATAATTTCCCAACTAAGATCTGCGCTATTTCCCTCAAGTTGGCATTGCTGAAGATGGAGGCCTACTGGTGAGTCTGCTTTCTTAAATTCCTCAATTCTAGTGGTCAAATGTCGAACAGTTTGTCCGACATAGGTGGAAGTGCATCCACTACATGACAGTTTATAAACCAATCTTGACTTGAGGTCATTAGAAAATGCTGACTTCAGTGATGGTAAAGATGATTTTTGTTTTCTTGTGGTAAAAACCACTTGAGCGTTAGTCATTTTTCGAAACCTGTTAGCAAAATATTGGCTTTGGTAACCTCTATATTTCACCATCAGCATTGGGGGCTTCACATCTTTTGGTGATTGAGTTGACAAACACCTCTCACTATCCAGGGGCTTGCCCTTACCCGCGATGATTTTGCACAAGGAGTCTGAAGCCACCTTTGCGGACCAAATTTCAGGATACTGATTTGTCAGCCATTGCGCCCTATTTGTTTCTATCGCCTTATCGAATTTCTCCCAGCTAGATGTACTCCTAAAAACCCTGTGTACAGTTCCTTGGATAACACTACGCTTATACTGAGTTGTGGCGCAGCTTCTATAGTTCAGTATAGTCCCTAAATCTGTTGGTTTTTGCTACTCCAAATCTGCCCTTAAGTTACACCCCTAATCTGCCATACATTTATGTTCAAATCCAGGAACGGCAAATTCCCCTCCGAATTAGTTTTCTCTAGAGTGAACTGCAAATTTGGATGAAGAGAATTGGCGGCATCAAGAAGACAACTCGGCTCCCCTCTTACTGTTCTAAAAATGTCATCTACATACCCGAGGAACAATTTCACCGGGGGAGTATCCTTCTCCTTGTTCTTAGCGCGGCAGCAGCTTTCACAGTACCAGACTATCTCGGTTATTGATGCGTATACGTCATCGGATATTTTTCCGCATTTTATATGATACCAGTTTCGGCAACTCTCGCATTCAACCCCCTTTGATCTATATGTGTCTTTCCTGCTGCAACATGGGCACAAACCGTTTGTGTCATTAATTTGCTGTATCTCCGTTCCCACCGGTATTTCTTGTCTTAGAGCAAACTCGAACTCTTTCAGCCATAAGTTTGCCAGAATTACAGCGAGGGACGCGCCCATTGCTAAACCATCAACTGGTACACACCATGAATCATAAAACTTGAAATATACTTTGCTGACCACCATATTCAAAAGCCTTTTCATAGTTTTTCTTTGAATTTCAGGTGGAGACTCCTGGCTGTACAGCTTCTGTGAAGCAATTTCAATTGCTTCCTTCAGGCGAACGTTGGGGAACGTTTGTGCAAAATCATCGAGGGTAAGAGCAAGCTCCTGGATATTCACAGGTGTTTGTCAACTCAGTCACCAAAGGATGTGAAGCCCCCAATGCTGATGGTGCAATATAGAGGTAAATAAAGCCAAAATTTTGCTCACAGGTTACAAATTTTAACTAACGTTCAAGTGGTTTTCACCACAAGAAAACTGGAATCATGTTTACCATCACTGAAGTCAGCATTTTCTAATGACCTCAAGTCAAGAGTGGTTTATAAACTGTCATGTAGTGGATGCAATTCCACCTATGTCGGACAAACAGTTCGACATTTGACCACTAGAATTGAGGAACAAAAAAAAGCAGACTCACCGGTAGGCCTCCACCTTCAGCAATGCCAACTTGAGGGAAATAGCGCAGATCTTAGTTGGGAAATTATAGATAGGTCAAACAACGAAACAAAACTGTTAACAATAGAGGCAATACATATCAGGAAAGAGAAACCGGGGTTGAACACGCGCGATGAGTTTAGGAGCAAGGAGTTAACACTGAAAACTGAGACCCAAATATTTTTGGTTTTTTATTTAAAACGTTCATGTCTGAATCGAAATTATGACTCAAGGGTCACCCAATTACCTATCTGCATCTAGAACTATAAAACTGCACTTAGAATTTAATAGCAACATCAAAAACTCTATTGATCGTTATTTAGATTTATCGTCATTTAGATTAATTTATTGTAAAAACCCTGACGATGCACATAGTTGCG